TCTCTCTCTCTCTCTCTCTCTCTCTCTCTCTCTCTCTCTCTCTCTCTCTCTCTCTCTCTCTCTCTCTCTCTCTCTCCTGTTCACTTCACCAATAATTGGGCAGAAATGACGTGTGAGTACACGAGTAGGCAGGTAGTCGCACGTGATTGATTAGATAGAAGAGGTTACAGTGCACCACCTCCTCGGTCTTGAACCCCTGATCAATTTGTACTGCTACTACACATATAATCACGTTGTTGTATGTATATGGTATAATAGTTTTGATGGGCAGAAGAATAACAGTCAAGTAGTGATTTGCAATAATACCCAAAATGGGTAGTGGAAAAGATACGGGACGACCAAAGGGTTGGGATGCAGAGGAGGATGGGGCTAGCCAAGTTGCGCGCCGTCACTCAGATGACGACTGTTAATTAGCTTGGCGATATACTATTTACATATATATATGTATATATATGTTTGTGACGATATATATATATGTATTTGTATATGCAGATGCACATATGTATACTCCGACGTAACAGTTTGTCACAGCCCCTCGTTTGTTGTCCTCTTCTCCCTCTCTGCCTACGGTCTACCGGGCAGCTCTGTTTCATATATATATGTATACATGTATTAGATGTACTTAGACGTGCGTGCATGTAAGTTGTTGGCTAGCAAAAGAGAAGGGACGGGTGTGTGACTGGAGAGCTCCACCGCACCCCATCCCACCCCAGGAAACGTTGGCCCAACAAACAATGTCGTTGCTGCTACTGGCTGTTTCGTTGCGTATGTGAAAGAGGTACAGCGAGCGAAGTAAAGGCTTATACCCCGACTGATGCAGCGCATCAAACTCGCAAAAGGCTATACACACATAAGTAAGATTCAGTCTCATATGTCAAGCTTAACCATGCATGCCGGTTCATCAATTCCCACGTCATATCAAGCTTAACCACGCATGCCCCTTTATCAATTCCCATGTCATAACCCCTTTATCAATGTCGTCGCTGCTGCGGGCTGTTTCGTTGTGTAACTGTCACGACAGATCAGGCGTATCTCGCGGCTGCTGCACCCCCGACAGACTGCTGCGAACCGGCGCTTTGCTTAATTATATACTCAGGGCGTACTCATTCTAGAGCTTTGCTGAATGTATCTGCCCGCTTTTATGGCAAGGCGTGGACACTCCTCCTGACCGCAATTTCGTCCAGAAACAAGTTGGAAATGTCCCAGTGTGAGCCCAGTGTGAGGTCAACTCCCACTCTGATGCTTGGAGTCACAACTACACCGTAATAAGGGAGGGAGTAAGCATATGCTCCTCGGAGCAGATTGCCCTCGACGTATCTGACCACATTGTTGGCCAAATTCAGTCGAGAAGAGGTTGGAGGTGTACCTTACCTAGTTACGTTGATGTGCGAAGCCATAATTAATTAATTTCACAATGTAGAGAGGGGCTGGCGGCTTACTCGTGCGCTCCTCGGAGCAGATTGCCCGGGACTTCCCTGACCGCAATCATCGTCGAAATCCATCGAAGTGTTGGCACAGTGAGGATACCCGTACATCCGTTGCCTTGAAGTGGGTCTGCAAGTTGCCCCGTGAGCAGCAACGGCGTGAAGTGTGAGCTATATACACATGTACATACATATTATATCCTGCCGATGTTCGTGTCATTGGTTGGCTCGTACATGGGTGCCGTCGTGGCCATGGGCTTGAGAGGTGTGCATCTGTCCTGGGCTCCACCGAGCCTTCCCGTCATCCGAATCTTGATCGAGAGGCCAACCAGGTTGGCGAAAGCCCAGTGACGAGGAACAAGAAGAAGAGGAGGAGGAGGAGGAGGAGGGTGGTACAACGAGTGTCAGAGGGGAGGAAGAGGGGGAGGGGATTTTGGGTCTGTGCATCAGAGTCTGCAGTGTTGAAATCCGGCACGTGGAAAAGAAAACATACGAGAAAACGGACATATGAGACGAAGATCAAACCGGTCAGCGCAAGAGGGAGAACAAACACAGCAGAAAAAAGGAGGGGCGCGGGGGGCGCACAAAAAACACAAACGGATCGGGAAAAGGGGGGAAGCAAACGGACGGACAGACCAAGAGAAGGGAGAAGCGGAAGACGGAGAGGAGAAAAGGCAAGGGCAGCTACTATGAACTCCCGCAAACAGAACGTGCCCTCTTTGACGATCGACAGGCGAGGACGATCATTCGACGGAAGCAGTACTCGGGGCAAGTTGGTAGGGGTGGTGCTCACGGGGAGGGGAAGTCAATGCGCCAGTGGCAGACGGGATAATCTGATGCCACAGGGCCCGGATCGCGACGCGGTGGCAGCGGCTTGGGCTCCCGATCTCACCCTTGCTTTGCGAGTTAATGTGCCTCCTCTTCCTCCTCTTCCTCCTCTCCCTCTCGATCTGCATCTCGAGCAGTCGGCGACTCATTCCACCAACTCGAGTGCAAATCGTACGTTCAAGCACTACCGCAGCAAGTCATCCCCAATCCACGGCCTGAGTCAACCCCCTCCGGATCCCGACGAGAAAGCGATAACCCTAGCAGGAGGAAGAGGATTAAGACGAGGAGGAGGAGGCGGCGGTGGCGGAGGAGGAGGAGGAGAATTGAGGGGAAAAAAAGGAGGTAGTCGTGACCACAGCTCTCGAGGAGGAGGAGGAGGAGGAGGCGGCGGCGGAGGAGGAGGAGAATTGAGGGAAAAAAAAGGAGGTAGTCGTGACCACAGCTCTCGAAGAGGAGGAGGAGAAGGAGGAGGAGAAGGAGGAGGAGGAGGCGGCGGCGGAGGAGGAGGAGAATTGAGGGAAAAAAAAGGAGGTAGTCGTGACCACAGCTCTCGAGGAGGAGAAGGAGGAGGAGGAGGAGGAGGAGGAGGAGGAGGGAATCTACCGCGCAGGTCTCCTCCAACTCCATATCTCCTGCCCGTCGATTCTCGAAACGTGGATGACGTACGTTTCTCCTCATCTCATATCTCCTGCTCTTCCTCTTCTTCATCTTCTTTTCCCTCTTCTTCTTCTTCTTCGTTTTCTCCTACCAGTACTACTACCACCACTTCTTCTTCTTCTTTTTCTTCTTCTTCTTCCTCTTCTTCCTCTTCTTCTTCTTCGTCTTCTTCTTCTTCTTCCTCTTTTCCTTCTCCTTCTCCTTCTTTTTCTTCGACAACTACTACTACTACATCATCATCTTCTTCTTCTTCTTCTTCTTCTTCTTCTTCTTTTTCTTCTTCTTCTTCTTCTTCTTCTTCTTCTTCTTCGTCTGCTACTACTACCACTTCTTCGTCTTTTTCCAGGTCAACGAACCGATCACTTCCATCGTTGAGAAGACGTAGGCATTGCTCTTCCCGTCTTCCTCCTTGTCCTCCTCCTCAAAACGGGCCTCTTTCCACTTCAATCGGGCCCCGCTTACGTGGCGGCGTGATCGGGTTCGACATCGACAAGGGTCGTGAAGTGCTCCAGCTGGCATTGGCGAGTGGGAAGAAGAGCAGGCAAGTGGTGGTCCCCTCTCCCGAGTGTCCTTCGATTGTGGTTCGAGACGCGCCATCGCCCACCGCTGATCTTGTGGGAGCCAGTCAGCGGTTCATGATGGTGTTGATGGTCGCCGCCGCGACAGCTGTCCCGTCAGCTGCGGCGCCGGCGAGCGCGCCGGCGACATCGGCGGCCGCAGCGAAAGGTGTTGATTGCCCAGCAGGCGGAGTGCCGCCCTCGACGACATCAGGGGGGTCTCGAGCGCAAGCTCGGGATCGCAATGCAGATCTTCTGGACTACCACATCGGCGTCCCGCTCGGTACCCCGTCCTCGTCGCCACAGCAGGAGCCTGAGAAGGCCGGGATGAAAAGGGATCAGCATCGCCCGTACCACCTCCACCTCCCACGCGGAGATGACCGTCCCACAACAACGACGGTCGCTTTGGCTGCAGCTGCAGCTGCAGGTCCTCTTCCTGCTCACGTCCATGGACATGCAGGACACGATGGCAATCTACTTCCCGCTCCTTGTCTGGACAAGAACATGAAAGATGCGGACAAAGGTATCAAGGATAAAGGCAAGGATAGGGAGGGGGAGGGTGGAGATAAGGGACAGCGGGACGCGTACAGGGAACAGCGGAAGGGACGGGGCCGGAGGGAGAGGCGGGCCACCGAGGGGGTCAGTTCGACTTCGACGACGAGGCCGCCGCCTGGAGATGATGGCCAAGAAGGACGACGAAAGGGAGTTCCAGGTGATAGTGATGGGGGTGCTGATGGGGATAGTAGAAGGAGTAGAGGGGCATCTTGGATATCGAGTAGTAACGACAAGCAGGACGAGAGTTTGTCCGCCGGCAGCTCACTGACAGACGTGTGTCGCTTTCACTCATGCGTGACCTCTCTGTACGAGTCGGCGGAGTTCCGCCGATCAGAGACATCGTCGCCGATTTCACGAACGATGGCAGAGAGCGGACGGCAGCTCGACGAACGCGAGGCGCGCAGCAATGGCTCCGATCGAGGCAATCGCCATAGCTACCGCCGGCCTCTCAACGAGCACGCGCATATTAGCCGGCGCCACTCTCGCATCGACTTCCTGGGAGAAACGAGCAGCGGGAGAGTGGGAAGCGACGCCGATCGGCTGTTGCAGAGAGCTCCGCAGCAGCAGCAGCAGCATCGCGAGGATCACGTCGGGGGCGGGGGGTATAGTTACGCCGCCGGCAGTAGCTATAGCGGCGGCGGGGGGGGGGCCGGGTGTAGTTATACCGGTGGGAATAGCTGCAATGGAGCGGGCTGCAGCAACTACAGTGGCGGGTACAGCAGTACGAGCTATACCGGGTACAGCAATCAAGGGAGCAACACAGCGCGGGCGGCGCCGTTTTACGCCGCTGTGGACCTGCGCAAGCTTTGTGTCGGCTCGCTGTCGTTCGAAACGCCACGTGGCAGGTTTCATCAAGCACTTTACGACGGCGGCATCGTGTCCGTGAAACTACTTCGATGCAGATGGAACGATCAACGGCCGCCTCGGACACCCGCCGATCGCCGCGCAGCGGCGCCGCGCGAGCGTATCGACGGGAAAGACCCCGTGTCCTCCTCGTCGTCCGACACGTGTCACCGGCCCTCTCATAACCGTCGCCGCCTCAGCTCTGGCCGTAGCCTGCAGCGAGTATCGTCCGACCCCAGCCCCTATGCTCACCGCCTGCAAGTCGAAGGGCCGATGCGCAGCCCCCATGCCGGTAAAGACCATGCCACGACGGACATCTGCAGTCGCGATCGGGATGACCTTTCCCAAAACAACAAGGACGTGAGAGGAGGGGGGCCAATCCCTCAGAGACAGGGGGGCAAAGTTGAGGAGACGAGATCGGCAATCAGCAGTGCTGCTGCTGCTGCTGCTGCTACTGCTGCTGCTCCAGGCGATACGAGGGATGAGGAGGCGGCTAGACTGCAGTTCGCGCGGGAGATGAGAGTTCTGAGCCAGCTGCGCCACAGAAACATCGTTAACGTGAGTGACTGCAGCAGCGCATCCCCCATCGCAACCCCCCTCCCTTTTCCCAGCCCTCCCTTTCCCCCCTCCCCCCCTAAGGGCCCAGAGAGGTGTGTAAGCTCAGAGGCGAACTTACCAAAACATCACGGTCTCTCCTCCCCGACGAAACAGAAGAGCGTGTGAAGACACGGACACAAATAAATGCGCGCGCAAGCATGGATAGCTTGTAATGATTAATGACATCCCAAGTTGTCCAATGACCTTATTCGCCCACACAGTAAGAGGGATTGTGTGTTTGCGTGTGTGTGTGCGTGTGTGTGTGTGTGTGTGTGTGTGTGTGTGTGTGATGATGTGTGATGATGTGTGATATATATATATACATATATATTTGTGACGATATATATATTCACATACACACACACAGAGAGAGAGAGAGAGAGAGAGAGAGAGAGAGAGAGAGAGAGAGAGAGAGACAGAGAGAGAGAGAGAGTCGGGTAGTCTGCATTGCCAAGCATTTCCCCCTCACGACCTCCCACCCGAGAGAGAGAATGCGATAGAGAGGGTTCCTCGATCAAACAAGTTGGGTAGCCTCCATTCCCGAACCGAACTTCCTGGATTTAAAACAACAAGCACTCCGCATTCTGTGTGTGTGTGTGTGTGTGTGTGTGTGTGTGTGTGTGTTGTGTGTGTGTGTGTGTGTGTTGTGTGTGTGTGTGTGTGCGTGTGTGTGTGTGTGTGTGTGTGTGTGTGTGTGTGTGTGTGGTGTTGTGTTTGTCCTCCTCTTTCGTTTACCATTGTACTTGGCCGGACTTCCGTTTGTATTGTACCGAGGGGTTGAGACTTTTTTAAGCGCAACTCGTAGAAAGTCCAATTAAGGTCTACTTTCCTTTTCTTATCCCAAAACGCACAGATCCCTTCTCTATCCATATCGTCCAGACCCAGGTTGCGCGATGTGTGATTGAAATGCAATCCAGCTACAAGATCGCTCCCTGTACGTGAGCTGCGAACTGCCCATGTTATGGTCACAAAAATGAACGCCCGGTACTCGCTTTTTTACTCGTTTTTTTTGTTCTTTCAAACTCTTCCTGACTGTCGCAATCAGACGAATTGTCTGTCACGAATCAAGGAGTAACAATCAGGAATTTTGTTTTCGACAGCGGCCGATACGCAGCGTGCCGTAGATTTCAATTTGCACTCGACTCTGTCCGTCGCTCTGTTGCTGGGGGGAAGACGGGAGGCTTCTGTTGTCCTCTGTTGGTCTTCTTCCTTTCGCTATAATTAGCTATTGCCACCCCTTACCGCTCCTCTCTCTGTGCTAGCTTCTGTCTCTCTGTCCTGCTTACCTTAGTGGATGGTCGGAAATCAAGCCAAGCCGCACCATATCGCCGTGTTGGGACGGTCACGGACGCAGTCAGACATTATGACGTCTCGAAACTAACCAACGGTGTGCGCTCTGCGTTCTGCGTTTTACGGAAACCGGTCGTGCAAGAACCCTTTTTTTTTTTCTTTTTTTTTTAATGATTATGATTTTATTTGATTTTATTTATTTATTTTTTGTATTTTTTTTTTGGGGTCGTGCAAGAATCCTTCTGGGGGTCCTTCGGGACATCCGTTCAAATTGGAACGATACAGAGAAGTTGAGCATGGCCCCTGTGCAAGGATGACACGCATAAATCGAGAAATGATCCAAGTAAAAAAATAAATTAATTAATTAATTAAATTAAATAAAATAAAGATGAAAAAAAAATGAAAAAAAAATGAAAAAAAAATGAAAAAAAAAAAATCCTTCTGGGGCCAGGTCGCACATACCACCGTTTTCCATCGGCTGTCGAACGCCCTGGCTGCGAACAAACGTGTCAGTTCGAGGGTCCCTCTGCGCACGGTGTACTTTCGATAGCCGTGCCCGGTCCGTGCGGGAAAAATGGGTCGATCTCGAAAAGGAAAAAAAAAAAAAAGGCTCGGGACACACCCATGTCAGGGTCGGAAGTTCTTTTCTAAAAGGTTGTGCAGGCTGAGGTATAGGGAGCCCCTACCGTGACGCCAGTACCATGATCACACTCCCACACTCGCATGACACACCCAGGGCAGAGAGGGGGGCATTCCAAAGCCCGAGACTCCCAATTGTACCCAGTCCCTCCGCAACCCCAGCACCCACACCCACGACACATCCAGCGCAGAGAGAGGGGCATTCCAAAGCCCGAGACTCCCAACCCAATGGTTCGCAGTCCCTCCGCAACCCCGAGGACTGCAGTGTGGACGACTTTTTCATGTTCCCACGCTTACCGGTGGATCCACCATCGCTGGTCTTGCATGACAAGGCTATTCGCAAGAAAGACCATCGAGGAAGGGAAGAGATATCCTTGCCGGCGGAATATGCTACCCTTTCTCGATTTATGCATGTCATCCTTGAAAGCGCCGGGGCCTTTTTTTTTTTTTTTTTTTTTTTTTTCACTTTGCTAATCTTCATTCTCTGTATCGTTCCAATTTTAACGGATGTCCCGAAGGACGACGCGCACGCACGGCGATCTCATCGACCGCGCGTCGAAGGGGATGATGAGATCGGACGCGATGGCGGCCACGAACCCCCATCATGGCGCCGTTTCCTCTTCGGACGCGCCGCTCCCTCCTTGGCAGCTCCGTGCCGACGCTTCTCTGGTAATGACGAAGTCGGTGAAGGACCGCTCGATGACCGCGGCGTCGGCGCTTCCTCCGCGCGGCCGTGGACCACGTGTCTTTCGCCAATACGCGACTCCGCCTGCCACTTCCCCGGCTTCCCGTACGAGCAGGTGGTGCGTTCCAGGGGAGAGTCTGACCTGCCTGTGGCGGGCCAGAGCGTGTCTTCCCCTTCTTGTTGCGCCAACCATCGATTGTTCGATCAGTCATGCGCCACATGGGACATGCTCCCCTACTACCCGGTGATGCTTGCTGGTAGACGAGACGAGACCCCTCCTCCGATCCCCCCCCAGTGCTCGCCTGGATCGCCTTCATGTGCACACAAAGAGAATGCGACGACGATGAAGGACGCACGAGGGTGACGGCACAGTCGAAATTCAACGTCGATCCCGTCCGGTGAAATCCGGTAATTGTGGACCGCTTGCGTGAAAAAAGGGGTGCTGAGAAGGAGGGCATGAAGAAGTGCAGATCGAAGTGGGACCGACCAGGATATACTGTATGATCCCACTTCCGAGCCATCTGGGGTAGTACGATTTCAGGGGAAATCAGGCGAGCCGTATTTCTTCATAGTAACGCATGCAGGGAGACAGAAGAAGGAAGTGTAGTTCTTTTTTTTTTTTTTTTTTTTTAATTGGGTTCGAGCCCTTCCATTATAACAGTTCAAAAAAAAAAAACAGTTCAAAACCGAGGCCGGGGACCTCCCAATTCAACCCGGTGGTGTTATCCTGGCAGCATCAGCCAGTTTAGCTTACGAGCCAGGGCTCGCCATCAGAGGAAGTGTTCTTTATGGTCAGGCGGCACGAGGTGTACGTCGTGACGTCGTCTTCGATGATCAGCAATCCTACAGGGACGATGCGTCGATCAGCCCACCGAACCGAACCGAACCGAACCGAACCGAACCGAACCGAACCGAACCGAACCGAACGCGTCGGACTCGAGCGTTGCATTCAGATCAATCAACACGATCGATTCAACAGTGGGTCGACATGCACCGAGAGCAGCTGTACACCGGACCGGAGTCAAGCACTGGGTGGAAGAGCCATGAAATAGTGCGGGAGAAGGTGGCGGCCGAAGTGGTAGAGTGTACTAGAGTCGATTACATCCGCAATCGATCGTGCTTTCAGACAAAAAGCACGACCAAGTGCCTGTTCAACAGTTCAAGTGCTGGATGCCAATTCATGTCGACCATATCCTCCTCCTCGAATTTCCGCTAGGTCCAAGGGTATGCGTCCGCCTCCGAGACACGGATGTCCCCGTGCAAATGAATGTTCTCTGCTGAATCTGTGCTGATGAGTGGTGGGCCTGGTGGCTCCAAAGCCCGGCAGGCCACCGTATTGTCCAAGCGACCAACATGCTCGTCGGCAAGGTTTTCGATGAGTGCCACAATCATGTTCGACAACGGATCTTCCCGCAGATCGGGCTCATCAGCGATGCTGTTGCCCACTGCCTCCAAGCACACAGCGACCTGGCTGACCAGGCGCTTCCTGTTGTAGCCAAGCGCCATGCGGATCTCCGCTGCAAGATGACCCAGCCAGCCGACGTCATAGTACCGCACACAAGTGCAACAAACCTCACCCTTTGTTAAAAGCCAGGGTTTGGAACACGCCCCAAGTCGCGCCTGTCCATGAACTCGTAGAAGACGACATATTCATCACCGCGGACGTGCATCCTCGGTGCCACGCGAATGTCCATCTCTCTCTCTCTCTCTCTCTCTCTCTCTCTCTCTCTCTCTCTCTCTCTCTCTCTCTCTCTCTCGGAGTGTCACACATGAGAAACACCTGCACACACACCCGCATCCACCCTTATGCACCCACCTCCACACTCAAACATTCGCGCCTGACGATGCGTTATACACAAGCATGGATCGAGCGATCAGCAGAGCAAAAAAAAAAATAAAAAAAATGAAACAAAAATCATCAACAGAGTTGTGTCTGCACACACACCCTTATGTACCCACATACACGCTCGAACATTCGTGCGTGAAGAAGCGTTGTACACAAGCATCGACCGAGCGATGAGCGCAGGGGGAAAGAGAAACACAAAAAAAAAAA